AAGGACCAGTGGAGCATCATAGCTCTACTGACTCCGAATGACAAGTTATCACCTCTACCCCCACCTCCACCACATCAAGCTCATCTGTCATCTACCAAAGGTAAATGAAATTAACAATTTCATTATTAACTTTTTTATTAGTACATATTGTAATGTTTTATATAGCTAGTTATATGATGTTTACAGTATTTCCTGTATTTTTGTTACTGTGTATCATGTTCAGTGTACAGTGTATGTACGGTACTGTATTTCCAATATCATATACGTAGGCCTATAATTTCTAACTTCTAAAATCATGAATTGACAATCGCTAAAATGGACAATTCTCCCCGCTATTAATCCGCTTAACGAGGGCCGACTGTACGGCGTACATAGTATGTAGTTCCTCACTTACGCATAAATCCGGATTTATGAATATCCTCAGGTATCGAATCCATTCGTAATCATAGGACCCCCTAGTATTAAAGAAAAAGGATTAATTTTCTGATGAAAAAGAGAGGGTCCAGACACCCCTGATCCACCCTGACAAGTCCAGAAACTGTAGCAAACTCTTCGAGGAGAATTGTGAACTTTCAAGTCGTGATTCAAGATCATTGCTTTTGAGACTCTGGAATTGCCTTCCACGTTTTGTATCTGTTGCCGAGAACTTCAAGCAAAAGGAGCAATGCTCAAGGATATTACTAGAATTTCTTAGAGAAAGGGTGGGCTGCTCTAAGCAAGCCCTCAAGAATATATCGTCAATGTTGACTATTAACATAATTCGGTGGTGGGCACAGCTAAACGAAAAGTTAGCTTCGCTAATCTACTAACTAAAAAGTTAACTTCGCTAACACTAAACCGCTATACAGCTAAAAATATTAGCGGAAACTAACGCTAACCGCTAACTTTTATTATATGAATTTAGCTTCGGTTTGTTTGTTTTTTGGCTCTAAAACCCTTAAAAACAGACCTAGAGAGCTGAAATTTTCATATGTTGTCTTGTAGCTTAGACATAGAGCTTTCCAAAAAGGTATAGCATGCCAAGATCAGATGATGATCAAGGTGTACACAAATAATTAAATGAACAAATGAAATTAAACATTAGTTTACATTCAAGTTTCAACATACACTTTATAATCTTTATTTACTGTATGAAAAGACAGAAAGTATTAAACGAATCCAAAAACTATAGTACTGTATAGCATAGGTAGCAAATGGCGTCATGCCAAGATCAGATGATGATCAACTTTTCAAGGTGTACACTGTACACAATTTCACAAATAATTAATTTGCATTCTCATACAACCTATCGGCCTTATTCATTACTCATGTAAATATGCAATACCAACCACATACACATTATACCAGTGCATTTTTATATAACTTATTGTTGGTCTTAGTCATGAAAAGTAAGTTTTTAGAAAATTTTGTTTGGCACAAACCTTGGATGACATCCTGGTTATGAACTTATGCCTCTTTGACTGGCTGTTGGAGACAAGCATCACACGCTTACAACAGACAGGAACAAACATGCATAAATTTTGTGAGCGGACTTAAAGTTAGCGGAAGCTAATTGATCCGCTAATGGTTCCAAAGTTAGTGAAAACGCTAATCAGCTAACGAGAAAGTTAGCTTCGCTAATTACCGGTTAGCGGAATCGTGCCCACCACTGACATAATTGCACTTACCAATATATTGTAATGCTTCTAGTATAGTCGAAAAAAATAACCATCATACATATATGATGAATTTCGCTGATGGACAAGGACGGATATTGCGTTTAGACATACATAATCTATCTCCCAAAATTTAATACCTGTATTTCAAGTTTGTTTACCAAAAATCAAACCACCAAATTTGAAACCTATCTGCAGATGACACCACAGCATATCTCATTCAAACCTCGAGGTATATTTATCTCAGTTGTATTTACTATAGATAAATGAGTATTTGACGAGATTAGTTCAAACAAAAATAGAACAGCAAATCGCTTGCTATTAGAATATTTTGTATACAGATATTCATGAATCTACTGTGAATATAGAGGAAGGTCTTACTAGAGAAATTTCCCTTCACTTTTGTTGATGTCTTTATGCCTATTCTAATCTAACACACGAATGTGTGAACTCACTTCCCACTAATATAGAAGATACATTTGATAATTATATTGATTTAGTATATCTTTATTTTTATTACCCATAAATAACATTACATTAAGGGTTGTTTGACACACTCCAGGAAGATTTCTCTTTAGTTGTTAATATTTTTACTGGCGATATATTAGTCACATAGTATATCAGAAATTAATGAAATATTTCAATACTTAGGGCATACAGTATTACCCCGCTTTACACGGTTTCACTTTCCGCGATTTCTCATTTACTTCTCATTTATGCAGTACCTTGCCAGAACCGGACTTTCACTTTCCGCGGTGCATCTACTCATATACGCGGTGAAGTATAATTTTTTTTTATTTAGCTCATAAAATTCATACAAATAACCCTGCCAGAATATAATTTACATTGCTGGAATTCTTACAATATGATGATCATTTTGAATATAAACATCATGGATTTTGCATTAGACATACAAATTTTAGATCTAATGTAATAATTTGGTTTACACAAAGCAAATATTTTATCTTTTGTGCAAAATATATGAAGTTTACATTTAAAATATTTCCTGACCTGCAAGGAATCCAGAAATGTCAATTATATTATCCTAACTTTAGTCTGGGGTATTATTTATTACTAAAAGTTAAAATCTAGTTTTTTCACCCAAACATTTCTCTGGTAGGGAGCGAAGGTGGGGGGTGGGGTGAGGGTTGGGACCGACTGACCCAGCTGGCGTGAGGGTGAGGAGGGTGGGGAGGCAAGGTGGGGTACTTTGATTGACAGATAGTGTCGCGAAGAATATTTTTTTTTTTTATTACCTGAAGATATTTGTTTTAGCTCATAAAATTCATACAAATTACTCGGCCAGAATATAATTTACATTGCTGGAATTCTTAAAATATGATGATCATTTTGAATATAAACATCATGGATTTTGCATTAGACATACAAATATTAGATCTAATGTAATAATTTGGTTTACACAAAGCAAATATTTTATGTTTTGTGCAAAATATATGAAGTTTAAATTCAAAATATTCCATGACCTGCAAGGAATCCAGAAATGTAAATTATATTATCCTAACTTTAGTCTGAGGTATTATTTATTACTAAACGTTAAAATCTAGTGGTTTCACCCAAACATTTCTCAGAGAGGTAGGAGCTAGTGAGCTGGGAAGAGGGTGGGGCGGGGAGATTTGAGTCCATTATTTGAAAGGACATTAACCTGGCGACTGTATTTCTCTTAAATATTAATTGTGTGAACATACCATCATAAAATTTAGATGTTATTTTTACTACAACATAGGTAAGTGGAGTTTGGGGGGTCAGGCCAGTCTCTATTGGAATTAATCCCATATGTTCTGTTGTTCACTTTCCGTGGTTTTCACTTTCCGCGGTACCCTGTGGGTTCAATTGACCGCATAAATCGGGGTACTACTGTATTAGCCTAGGTCAGGGTTCAATACTTGTAGCATATTAGTCTAGGTCAGGGTTGAGTCAATGCTGATGCTGAAGTCTTCCTTTTCCCTCACACACACATGTGAACTCATTCATCACCAGTACAGTATACAATATTGGTAAATTTTTAGAAGTTGCCCATAATGTCCCACAATATTTTTTAGTCCAGTTCTAGATATATATCTCATCATCCTGAGTACCTTTCATTCTATACAATTCTGTCGCAAATTAATAATAGTGAACCAAACCAACCAAAGAAACCTACCTAACTCCCTAGCCGGGGTCGTCACATTAAACAAATACTTTTTTTATCTGGTACCAATGAAAGCAATTTTATTGAAGAGTCATGGTATAATTTTACATTTTATGTGGACGTGAGAGTACGTTTGGATCGAGCAGGTCAGTTGTACATAGACAACACGCATGACTCAGCAGATTATGAAGAGCTTGTAAAAAAAAGATTTGTACTTTGTACAATACAGTAAATATGATAATTCTATTGTATCAGTATACTGTATCTTTATTTGATTTTTATTGCCCTTAACTATCAGGAATTTTGATCAGCTGTTCATGTACGGCATACCAACATTCCCTTTTTTCCAATGTTGGCAGACCTGGAGCAAGTCCCACGCAAACACCACGATTTGTACCACCTAGAATGCGTCTAACGCACATGGTTTGGGCAAACCTCACCATGAGGAAGGCCCACGTAAAAAAATCTTTAATACGGCCGAATACCCTGTATTACAAAACGATGCTTCAACTAAGTTTTGATTAGTACCAGATATAAAAATAAATACTTTTTTTATTAATATTGTGTATGGGGGGTCCAGAAGGCTGAGCCCCCCCAGCTAGGAAATTAAGTAAGGTTAGGTAGGTTCCTTGGTTAATTAGGTCAGGTTCTATTAGGTTCAAGTAAAATTTGCTTCATTTAAAATATTTACTGTAATGATAGAACATCTATGGAAAAATTAACAAAATTAAACAACTTGTGTGTGTGTTTTGGTAAGGGTTGTATAGTTGAGAAAACAGCCTTATTTCCACCTTGCTGAAGCTTATGAGACCTCCGGAGCCATCATAAGTTACAAAGAGAAGTCAACCATTTTAAATTGTGTTGGGGACTTCATAACTCTTTAGTGAATCACCACCGCAAGAGATATGCACTCCATAAGCACTTATGAAGTTCGTAACCCGTTAGTAAATCTGGGGCCCTGGAGAATATACGACACGATTTATCTTGTACACAAGATATGCCAAGTTATTCTGCTGGACAGGTGGCAGGTTATCACTATACAGTACTGTAGTATACAGTGTAAGAGGCAGAGGTACTGGATACTTACCAGGTAATTTCTTAGTTCAGCTCACACTTGTTAATACAGTATCAACTTCCTTTCTTATAAAAGTTATGAATTCTAGATAGATATGTTTAATGTAATTAAATAAACTGCATATCAATATATATTTATTATACTGTACCAGTATGTATAACATGAATAAATCTATTTACAGTACTGTACAACAAATAATCATGAACTTTGGAACAAGAAATTTATTCACCAAACAGGTCACCCTTAATCAGCAATCTAAATTTACCTCCCATGTCTTTAATAGTTTACAATAAAATAATTGTATCAGTTACAGTATTAAAAACTTTTCTTCAAATTTACCATTCATAAAATGCATTGTTAGTAGGTTACATTACACAACACCTCAGTATAAGACACTGCAACTTTAAAGTATGTTTCACAATATGATTCATATGAATACTAGTGGGGACAGGTGGGTGGGTGTGGGTTTTTGGGTAAGTGGGTTACAGACCAAAAAGTAGAGAGTGAATTCACTAAATTACTCATATGAAATAAAACAAAGTCTTATTTCATCTAAATGAATACAAACTTGTCAATAGAAGATTCTTATAAAACATTGCAAGAATAAAACCCAGAGAGTCTTTACAACTGATGTCTAATATTTGTAATTTATTTGTTCACATACATCATATGGTTAGACACAGGAGGCATACCGTAGATATACTGTACAATGGAATAAAGAAATCCACAGCCACTGTATTACAGTATGTATGATGCAATGGTTTGCTACCAATTCACTTAATTTATAGGAATTATTTTAATTATATAATGTTGAATGTGGCATTTGACATAGAGCTCAGGTATGGAGCAGTATTCTCAAAATTCATATTTGCTGGGAGTGATTTTCTTTTGGTGACAGAACTTTAAAACCTATATTTCAGGTCTGTTAGGTAGAGAGCTTCAGAGATGAGAAGTGGCTAAGAGGGCTGAATTTGGAAAACATGATTCCAGTTACACTATACTGTAATTAATAATTTCCAACATAACAGCCTTTACATTCTAGCACCAATAGTAAGTTTGTGCAATGACAGCAGGACTGTGTGCTCTTTTTCTGCTTGAAGTAAATCAGGAAGAAATAAGCATTAAAAGAACAGATTTCCTAATGGATGCTCACAACCTTCCAGTACCAAACTCAGAGCTCTATTATGATATATAAACAGTTTGGCAATCAAACAGCATTCAACAACAAAAGATCCATCAGCAGTAATGATAACATTAAACTATATATTTATATACAATGCATTCCAGTTTCCTGCCAAAAGGACCAGACACCATAATTGTAAGGAAACATTGAAGCAAATAATTCAGACTCCAACTGTTCTTAAATCTGACAATTTGATAGTCTCAGTCTCAATCATAAAATATTTTCACTAATCTGTATTAAAACATGAACCAGACCCATACAAAATATTCAAAATCAAATCATTAACTATAAATATCAAAAGTAGTACATGACAACAAAATGCTCTAAAATATCAAGAAGAAAGGAAGAAGGCAAAAAAGAAGAGAAGGAAAGAAAATAAATAAACAAGGAAAGAAATAAATAAGTAAAGAAAAAATAAAGAAACAGAGGCAGGTACTGACAGCATTGTTACAATATTTGGCTTCATTTCTCATCACCATAAATGGTTTCTGTCATATTGAAATTTTACATTAGCCTGAAACATCAAAGGAGGGAGAGTGGTTATGTGGAGGCTAGAGAAGCGATATCTTCCAATATAGTTTACTCTTATATTCTCAGGTCAAATTACATATTGTATTTTTTTCATATATTACTGAATGTTATATTATTTATCATGAATCATACACCATAAGAGGCTGTTCAGATGAGAATATAATAATGAATCAATAATAGAAACAGGCCCAAAGCTGGGGTACACGGCCCCCCTACCTTCCACCTCGTCTTCATACACAGAATCTTCCCCAATATCCGAGGCTCTTGTTAAGTGTACAGGGAATTACATTACAGTACACCATTGATTTAGTGAGAAAAACTTGTTCTTTTCATATATATTTTTAAAAAATATTTAAAAAAAAATTTACAACCCAAATTTTTCCCATCAGAGTAAATAGTCTATGTAAAATGATCCAGTCATTTAAGAGTTAAACACATCTTTTGTGGCATTTCATTGACTCAGTATATTGGGAGTCAATAGGCAAATGTGCTTCGATTTAGGAAATTGTGATTTATGAAAGGTTTTCAGGAACAGAACCCTTTTGTAGTAACAATACAATTTCAGTTAAGCTGTGTTGCAGTTACAAAGAATCACTACATCTTTTCCTTCATAACATTGTTACTTTTACTCAGCATTAAAAATTTAATCCAACATTAATTAGCTACTACATATAATGGACCTTATATGCTTATTAAAAGCAAGTATTGCATCACAAGTAATAAATACTATCTGCAGCACAGTTTCAATTATAAATAAATTTATAAATTAACTAACAATCTAATAAAATGGAACATGATACCTTAAAATCTATACTAATATGGTCCCATTGTACTCATCAAAACAACTTATATTTTGTAGCTGTTTTTTCCTCACTGAAACTACTTTACAGGTACAATAAAAAAAAGATAACAAAATGCTATCATATGTCAATCACCCTAAATTTCTGAATACTATACTTCTTTTACCTTTAAAATACTGGTCCTGCCTTATCCCATTTAGCTAAACGTTCAGCATCAAAATGTTCAAATATCCATTTCTGTGTCTCCTTTTCTGGACTGCAGGCTGACACAAATATCTCTTTGTTACCTGGATTGCAGTCCAAACAACGTGGGTTGCCACCATGCACAAGCCATTGTTTTACCTGTAAAATTTTCATCACATTAACAAACAGCAAGCCCAAGCTGCTAAGGGCAGCTCACATCTTCAATATCACAATATTCATAGAAAAATCACAATCATCAAATGGTTTTATCACATTCTTTTTCCATTTAACATAATATTGACCTAATGCCTGGCATAAGTGATTCTTATTATGCCCATTAAGTTTGTGGGTTAAAAACTTGGCAATCCCTCAAACATTAGTGGCTGACACAATTCATAATCTAATTACACATTCCTGCTTTAAAAAAAGTCCCTGAATAGGGATTTTTATAACAATATCCATTGTTAGACATACTGTAGTGGAGGGCTAGACAGAATCAATTGGTGGGCTGAATGCAACCTGTGGGCAATGTTTTGTCCACTCCTGATCTAGCTGGCTTGAATTACATTAGTTACTTAAGACAGGCATCAAATCATAAATGAAGAAATAATCTTGAAATCCCATTTTAGGATGTAAAGTGGATAAGTAACTCAGAATACCCTCCCTCTCAATAGGTAGGAATAAGGATAACTGGAACTGAATGTTGAAGCCTAAAATGGCATGTTATAGCTGAATTAAGGAACAGGTGTATAGCGCATTTTTTCCAGCTGAGAAGAGATGCCCCGCCTCCGCCTAAAGAGTTACAGCTGATTGGCTGTTGCAAATCTGTTCCATTTTGTCCTGAAGTAATGATGTATTTCTAATTGAGTTTATTCATAATCGTTGGGATGACCGTTTCTGACGATAAAGATATTTAGCTAAATTCTATAAAGATACATACCTGTACTGTACATTTATTATTTCAAACATGAGTATGTAGGAAGTTTATAAAAATCTAATACATGAATCAACTGCTAAACTCTGGTAGCAAATTCACACTTTCAGAGGATGCATTTAATATACAGTATACCGTACTTATTTTTACCCATCATAAGGCATACTAAGACAACGTATCGGTAATACTACATTATGCAAAAACTAACATTTTAAAAGTTCATAATCACATTGAAATAATACACGGCCTCTGAAAGTTGGTGGATGAGTGTGACAGACTGGGGAGCTTGGCCGCTCAGCTGTTAGCAGAGGCGGAAAATATGAAGCTATTCGCAGTCATATTTCCTGCCTCTGCTGACAGCGGTGCAATACAGTCATGCGCTGGTTAACGTCCTAGATACGTTCTTGGAAACGTAACGTTAACCGAAATGGACGTTGTCCGATCATCACAAACTTTTCATTTATACTTACGTGTATGTGGAATACTATATACAGTCGGCCCTCAACATACGCGGGTTTATAATACATGAATTTGCAAATACGCGGATTGCCCCGCCGGAGGAATATTCTGTACATTGAAGTAATTGAAGTACATTCAAATCGCGCTCCCGCAACCTCACACACACGCATAGCTCTCCCTCACTCAGTCAGTCTCGCTGTAACCACGCTTGTGTTGACATCAGCATTGTAGTTGCAAAAATATTACATTTCCGTGAATGTATTATATCAAGCACAGTATGAATAGAATATCACTAATATAAGAGTATTTTAACCGAAAACTACTAAAAAATCGAGTAACATATCTTGAACGTCGGAAGGTTAGGTAAACTCTTTTGTTTTCATGTAGTTTATCCTAATTTACATTGAAATGCATTACGTTTCAGCAAAACTACTATTTATTTCTGAGAATATAGAAATGTAATATTTTGCTGAAATGACGTACGTATTACAGTGGAAAGTGACGAAAGCAATGACTCGCTTTCTTTCGCTCAAAAGATGTTACCGTAATCGCTTTTCGAATGGTTTTCAGTTAAAAAACTGTTGTATTACAATAATATTATATCCTAATTCACTTGTGATGCAACATTTTTTTTAACTGAAAACCATTCAAAAAGCGATTACGGTAACATCTTTTGAACGAAAGAAAGTGAAAGTCATTGTTTTCGTCACGATTTTATCCCACTTTCCACTGTAATACGTACGTCATTTCAGCAAAAATATTACATTTCCGTGAATGTAGTATATCAAGCACAGTATGAATAGAATATCATTGTAATATAACAGTATTTTAACCGAAAACTATTTAAAAAACGAGTAACATCTCTTGAACATTGGAAGGTTAGGTAAAGTCTTTTGTTTTTGTCATGTATTTTATCCTATTTTACATTGAAATACACCACGTTTCAGCAAAATTACTATTTATTTCTGAGAATATATTCATTCAGGCACAGTTTAGATAAAATATACATGTGCTGTAACATTTTTTTAATTGAAAACGATTCGAAAAACACGTACCCTCTAGCCCTGTTCAAGGAGAAGACTGGGAGGAGCTGTTTGGTGCTTAAGACGATGACAAGGAAAATGATTTTGATGGATTTTAATGAAAATATTCAGAAAGACCCTGGCATTGTCAAGGAAAGTGGCTGCTGAAGGCTTCCAGGACATGGCAGAGGACGAGATTAGGGAGCTAATTGAAGAGCACGACACTGAGCTGACCGAGGAGGATCTACAGGAGTTAGTAGACTAAGGCAAGGAAGAGGAAGCGAAAGGGAAAGAGGATGAGGAAGAGCACCAAGAAATAACGTTGGAGAAGTTGGGGGAGATGACCAGGAATATTGAGGCACTGAAAAACCTGGCCTATAGTATGAACCCCTCCATGGTGCGTGCCCTGAAATTCATGCGAGGGATGGATGACGTTTTCGCTCCATACAAAAACATCATGGAAGAAATGAAAGAAAGAGACGACAACTTCCCATCACCATGTGCTTTGATCACCGAAGGAGAGATTTAAACACCATCAATCACTGGCGGCAGTGAGGAAGCAGCTGAATCCACCGTCGCCCCCACTTCACCACCCGTTATGGAACTGAGCGACGATGAGCCCGATGACACCCGTCCTGTCGCCGAGGAGAGGTACTGTACAGTAAAGTGAAATTTTTATCTCTTTTTTTTAATAGCTTTTCTTGCCATGTTTATTGTTTGTAAAAATGCACAGCACAGTACAGTTCAGTACTGTACATAGGAAGTGGAGATGCAGTTATTCACAAAACATTTGTGTTTGTTGTCGGCAGTAGTGACGGTGAGGAGGCGGAGGAGGGAGCGAGTTGGGAGGAGTGGTGACCTTGGACACGGGAGCAGGGACGAGATGCCAGCCAGTACATTACGGGTGTATTAATTGTTTTTATAGCTATTTTTGCATTTTAATATTAAATACTGTACATTACGTTTCAACAAAACTACCATTTATTTCTGAGAACATGGAAATGTAATATTTTTGCTGAAATGATGTACGTATTACAGTGGAAAGTGGGATAAAATTGTGACGAAAACAATGACTTTCTCTTTCTTTCGTTCAAAAGATGTTACCGTAATCGCCTTTCGAATGGTTTTCAGTTGTGGGATTATAAGGCTAATGATAGGATAGAATATTATTGTAATACAGTACGAGTACAACAGTTTTTTAACTGAAAACCATTAGAAAAGCGATTACGGTAAAATCTTTTGAATAACGAAAGAAAGCGAAAGTCATTGTTTTCGTCATGATTTTATCCCTCTTTCCACTGTAATATGTACGTCATTCCAGCAAAAATATTTCATTTCTATATTTATTTCTGAGAATACGTATATTCATTCAGTTACAGTTAAGGTAAAATATACTTGTGATGTAATATTTTAATGAAAATATGGTATCGTAGTTTTCTTTTGTTTCAAATTTAATTAACAAAGATTGATGTTTCAAATGTAATGACCAAAAATTTATGTCCAGTATCTATAAATAAACTTTAATAAATGAATACTTTATGTTTTACATTGTCCTGTGCTACCATACCATGGATTTGGCTACTTTGGGCTTGCTATGATGACGCAAGAGATCTGCCCTGGCAACTATACCGACACTCACAGCTGGTGGTGCGTTGGTGCATTGTTTCCATTGTTTACTGGTAGTTACTGGTAAATATTTTTCAACCTAATGAAACTATTACCCGTTTAGAGGTCGACCCCCAATTTTTTGCCAAATAATTTGGTCCTAAAAACTTGAACTACACACAGGTATATACAGTAAATAAGGACATGGGGGGACCAGGTTTTTTTTTTTGGGGGGAGCACATATACGCGGATTTTTAACATCCACGGGTATCTCTGTTACGTAACCCCCGCGTATGTTAAGGGCCGACTGTACGTACATTAGGGGGCAGGGAAAAAACACTTTTATTTGAGTTGCAGGCTGCACTTTTCAGGCATCGTTTGTATGGCTGTAACAAACACCTGTGCAAAATTTCATGCCATTTCATGCATACTTACCCTGCCGCATCGCGAACGACTTTTTGTCAACTTTTAGTGTACAGTATACCAAAAATTAGGTGTCATTTAATGTTTTCCAGGATAATGATAAATTTTACATGGGTGACATCGATTTAATTCACATGTTATTTTACAGGTACACCGTATAGAAAATCATTACAAGTTCATATTGAAATTCTTTTTTGTACGGAACCTTGGCATCATTTTCCTAGACAATAATCTTTGCCGAATATATCCATCTCTCGATTCGTATCCCGTCACTTCAGTGCAAGCTTCAGTCATCACTTTTATGCCTCTCTCGACCGCCTGAGTGCTGTTTGGCTACTTGGGCACCACTAATGTTGTCTCAAGAATGTCATTAACCTGTAGATTTGACAGAGAAGCAATGTAAGGAGGCTCAGTCTTGAGTTCATTCCTCCAGTTAATCATAGAATGATAGTTTTTTGCTTGCCACTTTAGTTTCGGAGTCACCACCTTTCTCATGTTGACTACAGGAGGCACATCCTCATTCCCATCTCCATCTTTACCCTCCTCATCAGTATAGTTTAACAAATTCTCGTCAACAGCAGCATCAGAATCTTCCTCCTCCTCTTCAGATCTGCCAGTGCATTCTTCCTTTTGCTGATTCTCCTCTCTAATTTTTCTTATCATTGAGACAGCTTTTTCTCTAACAGTCATGTCCTCATCTGCACACATACCAAGAAGAAGTTGATCTGTGTGGGCGAAGTATGCATTTCTCTGGACAGCCTTCTTCACTATCGTCTCCTCCTCACTATTCAGGTGTTTCATATATAGCAGGGACTGGAATACGTTCCTTGAGCCGTGTGTTACGTAAGGGTGTATCTTGATGTAAAACCACATTGGAGCACTGAACTTTATTATTGTAATGACAATTCTTTTCAACTCATGGCTGGGTCTTGATGTTGCTACATACAGCCTGAGGATTCTACTCCATAAGGTATTCCACCTTGACACACAGGGAGGACCTGGCTCAATAGCAGCCAAGTCATCTTCAACAACACCTGTGATAACTCCTTTACAAATCCTATACAGGTATTTCTGATCCCAGGACAGATCTTTCTCCACTTCATCATTAAACACAGGGAAATCAGGGAAACTGACTGGCTGGAAGGCGACAACTGGAAGCTCAGACAAAGACTCCTTGATCTGCTTTCCAATGGGACCACGCCAATGCTCAGGACCACTTGGTTTACCATCATAGTGATAAAAAACTGCGCGGAAAGGCAGCTCATTTCCGTGAAGCTGACATATGAAATAATGGAGCGGGTGACCAAGTAACATTTCAAGATGATGAATGACTCCATTTTCTGATCCTACATTTACATTGGTTCCATCACAACCAACATACACAATGGGCTGCTGGGTTAGATTTTTCTCCACCAGAAACTCGTGAATAGTTTTGGCAATCTGCTTTCCGTGTCCAGTCTTGGGAGTCACATGTGTGAGATATTCATTGCCAGGCTCAACCATGATGACATAATGATCTTTCACCATCATCCTCGAACTCCATTTCTCGGTCTTCTCATTCTTTATCATCACACGAGTGGCGGTCTTCCCTACATTACAGTACAGTAACACAACATTGAGAAATGAAATGAGAAAAGGCTGATAATCAATATAGACATAGCACCATACTCATCTGCAACAAGACAACTTAAATGAAATAAGAGATATGAAAAAAAAGTTGATAAACACTGAACAGAACATTGCACCGCCACAGCGGCTGTTTGGCTAGTACTGTAGGTAAATTTAAAAATTTCAGTAGAAAATGCGGCAGACTAAACCTCGACATATCAGCTTCAAATTTGGCATGGAGTCTTAGATATGTATAAGGAACAATGCCTGAAGAGTGCAGCTTTGAAAAAAATTTCACTGCCCCCTAACGTACATATACACTTTTACTCTTAAATCACTACTGTAATGTGATACAGGTGATTAATTTTTATCTCTTGTGCAAAATACATGACGTTTATATTAAAATTATTCACTGTTTTACAAGGATTCCAGCAACGCCGAGCAGATGGGGGAGAGAGAGGGTGGGAGCGAGGGAGGGGGCGTGGGGGGAGGGGAGGTAGTACGTTTGACAGTTGGCACAGGCCTAGGTCTAACGCATGTTTATTTATCAGTTCTTAAGTGACTAAGCTTCTCTCTTATAAAAAGCCAGTGAAATGACCTGGGTGAATATAATTAACATGGCTGAGATTCTTGTAAGATACTGATTTATTTGAATATAAACATGCTATAATTTGCACTAGACAAAACAATTTTAGTACCATAATCAAATTAGTACATGTACACTCCAGCTTTGCACTAAGGTCATTTATTTCTATTACGTTTCTTTTAGTTTAGTGTGTGCATGTAAATGGATGAAAATAAATGAAGAAATCTATGTAAATCTACCCAAAAATACAGTTGAAAAACTTTTTTATAAAATGTACTACAGTATTGTACACTAATGTACAACAATTTTTATCTCTTGAGCAAAATATATGACGTTTATATTCAAATTATTGGCTGTCTTGCAAGGATTCCAGCAATGCAAATTATAATCTCCTAACTTTAGTCTGAGTTATTATATAAGATAAAAACTGTAAGCCTAAAAGCCTGGCTGGGGGGGAGGGGGGGGGGACTGACGGAGCCAGCCAGTCAGCGAGGGGATGGAGGGTTCAGGTGATAAGTTTGAGCTGAAGGTCTCTGTGTGTTTATTTAACAGTCCTACTAAGCTTGTCTCATTTTAAAATGCCAGTGATATGACCTAGGAGAATATAATTAACATAGCTGGGATTCTTGTAAGATACTGATTTATTTGAATATAAACATGTTGTAATTCGCACTAGACATAACAATTTTAGTACCGTAATCAAATTAGTACATGTGCACTCCAGCTTTTCACTAAGGTCAATTATTTCTTTTATGTTTCTTTTAGTATGGTGTGTGCATGTAAATGGATGAAAATAAATGAAGCAATTTATGTAAATCTACCCAAAAATACAGTTGAAAACCTTTTTATAAAATGTACTACAGTATTGTACACTAATGTACTACAGTATTGTACACTAATGTACTACATTTTTTATATCTTGAGCAAAATATATGACGCTTATATTCAAATTAATCTCTGTCTTGCAAGGATTTCAGCAATGCAAATTATGTTATCCTAACTTTAGTCTGAGATATTATATAAAATAAACAAAGAAATCACCAATCTTTCGTCTGGGAGGGAGGGGGCGGGAGGTGAGGTGACAGAATGTCTGGAGTCTGTTTGTTTATTTATTTGAGATAAGATTTGACAGTTGGCGCTGAAGGCCTGCGTGCGTGTTTATTTATCATTACTTAAGAGTGACTAAGCTCTTCTCATAATTTGCCACCCAAACGACCTGGGTGAATATAACTTACATTGGAGGGATTCTTGTAAGATAGTAATTTATTTGAATACCTGTATAAACAAGCTATATTTGTAATAGACATAACAATTTTAGTACCGTAATCATTTAGTAGATGTACAATACAGGTTTGGACTTAGGTCCATTGTTACTGTACAATATTGACTAAATTCACTAGATAACGTACTCCTGGCCGCACAATAAATAAGAATACGCGATGCATACGTGACTGTGCCCGCTCTAGGGCCATTTAGGTTCGCTAGGTCCCATTATTTGAATGTTTTTTTTTTTTAATTTAAATTTTAATTGCTTATTCCTTGATAAAGGAAGTGGGATCCTAGTGCTGTCACTTGGTACCCCTGTACCATAACACCAGAAGCAACTGGCCAGTGTCACAAGTATATACAGTACAGTAGTCATCCCTTGGTTATCGCGCCTAATTGGGACCCCGCCGATAACGAAAGTACAGAACCTATGGGATTTATTCTAATTTGTTCAGGCACCCAAGACCCAACCCCAGGTTTCCCATTTTACGACCATTTAGACCCACTAAATATATATACAATGTTATGGTAAATATCATAAACACACATAGGCATGGCTAGGTTTATTACAAAGGGCTGAAAAAGGTACGCTTAATACTGTAGTCCACAAAACATGTAGCTATGCTTTGTTTATTTGGTCCCCCGTCATACGAGTCCGTTTTCTCTCACATCAGGACGCATGAGTCCTCCGTTTTCTCTCTTAATCTTAGAGTGCACCAGAAACTTTACTATTTTTAGTAATGCCACAGAATTTGTAATTGCAACCCCAATTGCAACTGGGGTGCAATTGTTGAGGCGACTAGATATGTCTGATTACAGCAAATGTGTTATTGTCAATTTGTAGGTGAAAGATTTTATCCTCAATAGATGTAGGTTAACATTACACCTGTAGGCAGATGCTTAAAAAAGCCTAGGTAAGGAAGCATATTCCTTTAACACATAATATCTGACCAGTATGGGGAGGATCATCGAGTCTCCATCAGGGGTCGAGGAATGGTGGTCCAGCAGGCGTCACTTTTGGGGGGGGGGGGGCGCACGGATGCATATGCGATCAGACGTTGTTCTGTCAGACGTTAACCGGCGCATGACTGTGTTTCAATGTGATTTTGATCTTTTAAAATGTTAGTTTTTGCATACTGTAGTGTTACCGATATATAATCTGTCTTAGTATGCCTTATTGTGTGTAAAATTAAGTATACAGTCTCTCCTCGACTTACGACAACCCGGACATATGACGGCCATGGTCATATAAAATATTTTTCACATTACGTATTTTCGAGTCCCAATGTTAGTGATCACGCTGTGTACTGACAAAATTTTCGTTTGTAATTCCCTTTAAAATGGCTGGCAAGCGTAAAATGAGAATTCTCGTGGTGCTAAGAAGAAAAAGAGACACCCATTTTAGAATTTCTATATCATTTTCGCCTTTTCGACTTACGACCTGGTCGTCGGGACGGAACCACGTCGTAAATCGAGGAGAGACTGTATATTAAATGCATCCTCTGAAAGCGTGAATTTGCTACCAGAGTTTAACAGTTGATTCATGTACGTATAAGATTTCTGATAAACTTCCTGCCTGCTCATGTTTGAAATAATGAATGTACTGTATGTATCTTTATATAATTTAGCTATATATATTCTCTTCAGAAACGGTCATCCCAACGATTATGAATAAACTCATTTAGAAATACATCATTATTTCAGGACGAAATCGGACAGATTTGTAACAGCCAATCAGCTGTAACTCTTGAGGAGTGGCGGGGCATCTCTTCTCAGCTGGAAAAATGCACTATAGTGTATACAGACTGCTCTGACATTAACACTCAATGACTTCTACTTTGAATGGTAATTTTTTCATAAAATTTACCTTTACACTTTTTTTTTTAGGATGGGAACATAAGCTTAACTAATTCATGAATTAACCCCATTAAGTCACTTAGTTCAGATTTGGTCACAGAATGGGGTTTCAAATCAATTCTCCATTTTTCTAAAGTACTTACAGGATCATATCTCCAAAGCTGATTGCCACCCATACCGTGACAATTGTAAAGCAATATAGGAGCTTGGGCATCACCGGAGGACACGTCCCAACATACAGGACGTTTGCCTGGTCTAATATCCTTGTGCCACGTTAAGTGGAGAATCTGTTCTCCCCCTCGACCACATTCCTGAAGCCCAAATCTGTCACCATGATGCTTGTACCTAGTGTCAACACACAAGCTGGAGCTGGCCACACTCTGAATCTGAAAAATTTAGAGTGTAGTTATTTAAAAAATGAAAGCTTTATTCAAACATTGTTCTTATCAGTCAAGGCTTCTGCTGTGAACAAATATTTTCATAACCATTGCTTAATTCAATACTTTAAAAAATCATCACGTAATATATGGGATCAATGAAACTAAAACAAAGTCAATCAAGTCAACATCCCTCAACCCATCAAAACACCTTCAAATGTGTATAGATTCACTCGTGAACCTGTTAAAATGTTTCTTTTAAAATCTGTTTTAAGATCCTTATTTCCTAAATTACACCCAGCTCCCCCCCGCCCCCCTCCACCCCACCTTTCTCCCATGGGAGGACCCTCTGTATACTAAAGGTATGTGTTTTATATATCTAGGGGTATTACTGTATACAGTACACTGGCATACAAGATGACCTTTGAAGCTTAAAAAAAGAACCCCCAAAACTAGGGGTTGTCTTATACACCAAGTATAAAATGTGAACCATAAATCCTACAACCTTAGTCGGTCCCATGGGTTGCTAACACCCATCTAACTTCCACTCACATTTTCCGAACTTAATTAACACAGAAATTATAATATACAGTAATAAAAATGCAGTGTAATGAAATTGTGAGTGAAGTAATAACTATTTTAGTTAACATTGCCAATAAAATGTAAACCTTTAAAATGCTTTTTCTCATATTGTGTTTAAATATTTTGAATGTATTAAATATACTATTCAGCAAGTAATTACTCTTTCTTTTCACATAAATGCTAACAAAACATGAAGTATTGCATTGTAATCAAATGAACTAAAATATAGAGCGGACCGAAGACTGGTGTAAAGTTGAAAACAGATGTTGCGAACACAGTCTTACAAAGATAGCTTAATTATAAATTTCGAAAATTATTGAAAAATGTACCGATGCTTAAATCTCAAATATATAATATATATAAGGAAATAAATCAAACCTCTGTCAAGTAAATGGCAAAATTTTACCATATTCAATCCAGAAATCAGTTTCCGGAAAAGAACTGAACCTCGGTGACGTTACTAGTGTTTAAGTCACTACAGTAGTGCTGCAGCAGTGAGTTTTGTGAACTGGCCTTGTTTTAAACAGTCAAGGCTATAACATCATGCATTTTGCACTGACACTGCGGTTAATGATAAGTATTGTTTTTTATTAACATTAGCTTACGAGTTTAGGCTGTGTTACTTACCGGTACGAATGGCCAGTGGGAGTCGGGGTGGTTGGTGAGGACTACTGATTAATGCCTGATTACTAGCTGTCTTATGTGGCGAGTATAGGGTAAAACTTAAATTTTAAATTGAAAATTTGGGGTGTTCATATGCCCAGTACGTAGGATGAGGGGTGTGTGTGTGTGCAAGGTGGTGTAATGCATCTAGTGTGGCAGCATTATGTTAGTGTCAAGGTGCAAACACTGCTTGCTTCCTCTCACTTTCAGCTACCACCGCTGGCTAGCCCTTGTGGCGAACAGGGAAGCAACTTGCATAAGTCTTCCCCTGCCAGTAAAAAGCCTCCTCACCATCAAGACTCCTGCTGTGCCTTCTTGTGGCAACACACGGTAACTGGGTGCCTCGTGGGCCCAGGCTAGACCAGCAGGGGATCTCGGAGTAGCAGTGAGCCCCAGAGGGACGGCGCATAGGCCCACTGGCATGTGGACGCGTCATGGCGCCTACCAACCACCGCCCTGCTGCTTTGCGGATTAACCTTGGTAGGTATAAGGCTACGGGAGTAAACCCTGAAAGAAAAATCTGTGGTGGAGCCCCACATCAGGCAGACATGCTTACAGAGCTCCAGCAAGACCCCACCGGCGGTATAGGCGGAAGAGGTGACCACCATGGGAACCCAACGACTACACTGACGGAAGAAGGCAATGCATGATGGACAGGCTACTAAGGCGAAACCCAACAAACTGGGCTAACGGCAGTCTATTGCCACTCTATCTCTCCCCAGTCGTTGCAACACTTGCATTACTGGATCAGGAAAAGAGAGAGCCAAAATGTGTGGTAGCAGCCTGCACTCCTGCCTCACCACATAAATCAACTCACACACAGCCATCATCCAGCTCATTATACTCCTCCTCCTCCTCCTCCTCATCATCATAATCATCATCATCATCAAACCCTTATGCCCCAAAAGTTCTATGGCGACGGACGAGTGGCGACGGGGACAGGCAGAGATGACTGCCGGGAGTTTTGGTTACAACTCTGGTCGATTATGCACTGGGATCTAGGCAGCAATGCAATCCGGTCCTGTCTGTGCAACTGAGCAGTCCTTTTGAGAAGCCACTCTGCTCACCCTACATGAGGAGGGGGCTAGAAAAGGTGCCCTAAACATAGCCTGCCTAAAGAACCAACCTGACTGGACAACCACAACCAATAAGGTCATCCTTATGCCTGTCAAATACACAATTGTAATCACAGATCAAACTATACAACCTTTTATGGTCGCTGCATGGAATGTCAGGACCCTTCTGGATACTGGCACAATGCACGTCCTGAAAGAAGAACTGCCCTTGTGGCAAAAGAGCTGGCTAAATATAACATCGACATAGCAGCCATTAGTGAGTCCTGGCTCCAAGACAAGGGTCGATTCACAGAATGGGGGTCTGGCTATACCTTCTTCTGGAAGGGTAAACCTTCTGCGGAGAGAAACCGCATTTATGGAGTTGGCTTTGCCATCCGCCAACGCATCCTACACAAGCTAACTGAAATACCTGTTGGGATCAACGAGCGCCTCATGACGCTCAGAGTCCCACTGAATCACTCACGTCATGGCTTTTTCATCAGTGCCAAATCGACCCCCTCACTTGGGAGACGATCACTCCACACCATAACGCTTGGAGGATCACCACACGAGAAGGTTTCAATACTTTTGAATTAGTCCGACTGCAAACCAAGGTAGACAAGCGCCAACGCCGGAAAGACACTGCCCCCGCCCCTCCTGCACTCGATGGAGCTCTCCATATGTGCAACATCTGTGAACGACTCTGCCGGTCCCGTATCGGCCTCTTTAGTCACCCCAGAACTCACCAACCTACTGTAGGTGACATCCTTAATAACGCATATCATTGTATCATAGCTGGATGATCGTCATACTCGATTCCGAGTGACAGCAAAGTAGTAGTAGTAGGATAAAGGTAAAATTTATAACTAATACTGTACAGGTGTTTGAGGCTGCATGGGGAGTCTTGGTAATTAGTAACATTTTCTGCATATCACAAGTACCTCATAACTGCAACTCCCTCACGAAAGAAGGTCTCCCCTGTATACTAGTACTGTACATTATACATATGGAAGCTAAATGAATTTCAGAGATTGAAATTAAAACATAAATTACAAATGATGGGAAAATTTTTAAATATAAAAGTTGACATACTTTAGCGTTATGCCTTAATATTTTTAAAGTACAGGTAATACTTTATATACCAGAAAAAGCTCTGACATACAAATTTATAGACTTCTAAGAGTCTGATGGATCAAACATAACCTAACAGACAGTGATGAAACCACAAGACACAACACATGACAAACTACAATACTGTATTCATAATAAATACAACTTCTGACAAGATTTCTACAGTTTGCATTACCGTACAAGAATTCATGTACTGTGCAATATGGGGTTTCTCAAAGACATTAACGAAAGGCTATAAACACTTACTTTTCCACTAGCAAAATTTGGAGGCTCAATTGGAGGATAGACTTTAATCAAGTCAAAAGCCACTTGTGTCATAAACCATTTAAAGGGTTTACAGTTCAACCTTTTCCTGATAGCTTTCTGTTCTGTTAAATCCCCAGGGTCAATTTTCTGATAAGTTGGCCGTCGCTTGTAGAGGAACTGGGCAAATTCATCCATCCAAACTTCGGCCACACGACGGTAATTCTGCAAGTTAGAAATATGTCGAACACAGAAAATAGGAGATCAAATGAAAATCAACACAGAACATGTAAAAATGTACTGTCAAACATATAAGAAAGATGTTCAATAAAAAAGGATTAGAAGAGAAAAGACAATAGCAAAGATCTCTAGAAAAAAAATCTGAACTTTGTACTCTAAACAAAACATACACTGTACCCTCGTTAACTTGGGTCTTTACAGTTCAGATTTTGGATTAATTTATATGTTTTATCAAAAATTAATTAAATTAGTTGAATTTGGAATGAATAAAAAATAACCAAACGGTTCCAAAAAGCTGCCTTGGTGACCACATAAAATAATCTATTTATAATTACTGTTGAAAATTAAATACAGTATAGTCTGCATTTACGCGGTCAATTGAACCAGTGGAGGTTCACGTAAAACGAGAAAAGCGTAAATGAAATAACAGAACATAAGGGATTAATTCCAATAGAGACTGGCCCGACCCCCAAACTCCACTTTTTCCGACACAATACCTACGTTGTAGTAAAAATAACATCTTAAGTTTATGATGGTATGCACACACAATTAATATTTAAGAGAAATACAGTCGCCCGGTTAATGTCCATTCAAATAATGGACTCAGCCCCACCCCCACCCTTCCCACGCTCACTGGCTCCTCCCTCTCTGAGAAATGTTTGGGTGAAAACACTAGATTTAAAGGTATAGTAATAAATAATACCTCAAACTAAAGTTAGGATAATATAATTGACATTGCTGGATTCCTTGCAAGACCAGGAATATTTTGAATATAAACTTCATATATTTTGCACAAAAGATAAATTTTTTGCTCTTTATAATAAAATTCTTAAATTATCTCTAAAATTTGTATGTTTAATGCAAATTTTAGGATGTTTATATTCAAAATAATCAACATCTTATAAGAATTCCAGCAAAGTAAATTATATTCTGGCCGGGTAATTAGGATGAATTTTATGAGCTACAAACAAATATCTTCAGTAAATGATGAAATTTAACGCGTAATTAAAACATTTTATTCTGGCAAGGTGCCGCGTAAATGACCAAATGCGTAAACAAAAACCGCGTAAATCCAGACTATACTGCATTTTTTAAATACAGTAGTACCCCGATTTACGCAGTCAATTGAACCCACAGGGTACAGCGTTAAGTGAAATCTGCGTAAATGGAACAACAGAACATATGGGATTAATTCCAATAGAGACTGGCCCGACCCCCAAACTCTACTTTTTCCGACACAATACCTATGTTCTAGTAAAAATAACATCTTAATTTTATGATGGTACATGCACACAATTAATACTTAAGAGAAAGTAGAGAAATACAGTCGCCAAGTTAATGTCCATTCAAATAATGGACTCAACTCCCTCCCCCTCTTCTCACACTACACTGCTGGCTCTTCCCTCTCTGAGAAATTTTTGGGGAAAAACCACTAGGTTTTTAATAAATAATACCTCAAACTAAAGTTAGGATAATATAATTGACATTGCTGGATTCCTTGTAAGACCAGGAATATTTTGAATATAAATGTCATATATTTTGCACAAAAGATAACATATTTACTCAGAGTAAACATTATATCTAAAATTTGTATGTCTAATGCAAAATCTATGATGTTTATATTCAAAATGATCATCAAATTGTAAGAATTCCAGCAATGTAAATTATATTCTGGCCGGGTAATTTGTATGAATTTTATGAGCTAAAACAAATATCTTCAGTTAATAAAAAAAAATATTCTTCACGACACTATCTGTTAATCAAAGTACCCCACCTTGCCTCCCCCCCTCTTCCAACCGCGCCAGATGGTCGGTCGTCCCAACCCTCCCTACAAGAGAAATGTTGGGTGAAAAACTAGATTTTAACATTTAGTATTAAATAATACCTCAGATTAAAGTTAGGATAATATAATTGACATTGCTGGATTCCTTGTAAGATCAGGAATATTTTGAATATAAATGTCATATATTTTGCACAAAAGATAACATATTTACTCAGAGTAAACATTATATCTAAAATTTGTATGTCTAATGCAAAATCTATGATGTTTATATTCAAAATGATCATCATATTGTAAGAATTCCAGCAATGTAAATTATATTCTGGCCGGGTAATTTGTATGAATTTTATGAGCTAAATAAAAAAAAAAAAAATATTATACTTCACTGCGTATATGAGTAGATGAACCGCGTTAAGTGAAAGTTCGGTTCTGGCGAGGCACCGCGTATATGAGAAATCGTGTTAAGTGAAACCGCGTAAAGTGGGGTAATACTGTATATATATGGTAATAATAAAGTAAATAATACAGTATTAAAGAAATGTAACACTTACAGTACATTGCGAAGTGAGCTGATAATATGTATATGATATTCCAAGTGTAATAGTCACACTGGTAAATGAAGTAAAACCCACATTGGAAAATAAAAAAATAAATTTTGGAACTGGTATACTAGTACCCTCTTCAACCACCTTTTAATGGTTAAAATCACATGGGATAAATAGGATGAAAAGAATGTGAAATACAGAAACTGGAGAAAGATGTGAATGTGAAGGCAGTGTTGGTCAGGACTCATAAGGGTTTAGCAAGTTGGTGAGGACATACTGAGAGAATGGAAGCAAATAAACAGTAAGAGAAAGTGCAATCAGAAATGGATGGTAGAAAGGAGAGGGGAAGACCAAGAAGGAAAAATAAGGAAGACTTAGAGGAAGTACTCTACTATAAATAAGGGGGGGGTTGGATATCAATGAATCTGCAGAGCACAACAATGATAGAAAAGCAAGGTAGTCAAGTGCTTTATTAGGAAGTCACTCATGTGACTGGTGGCCAGCTCAGTCAACACCACAAGACAATTATGTCCCGCTAGCATGTGTCTAATGGGTTAAGTTTGAAAATCTATCAACTTGGGTCATCCATTATATTTACCCTGCCAACGAAGTCTCCCACGCCAGGATTTGGAAATGGAGCAAATTTGCGGTAAATATGACCAATACGTGAACATGGGGCATCGACCATGGTCCCACCACACTGCCATATCTAAAAAATAAAAACATATTTAGCTGTAAACATACACACACACATTTAATTTCCTTATGATTCCATTTTTATCTAATTATAGTAAAACTCTTTGGCATAATAAAAACAGGTCCTTAAGATGAACAACTTATTCAACAGATATTGCACATTGGTACAGGCTCCAATAAAACTACATTAATATGTAAGGTATTGCACAAGAAAATGCACATAAACAAAATAAAACTAACCTTGAAGGAGAGTTCATATTGTTCGCCTCCCCATATGTCTAACCCTGGATCGTAACCCCCCAGCTCCCAGAAAAATCTACTGCTAATAGCAAACAGACCACCTGCCATCACTGGGCTCCTGAAAAGAGAATTAAAGCTTACTAAACTACAGTAGAATCCCCCTAGTTCACACACCTTTGAGGCTAACCAAGAGGCAAACATGTGAATTTTGGAAACTAAAGAATAACAACATGGATACAATTGACTTTGGAACCATAAACCCAACTATTTGGGTACAGTCAATACCTGTTTGGATCCAAAGACCATAACACGTATTACCATGTGCATAAAAGGTACCACTAACCCTTTAGGCACAAATTAAACATAAGTACAGTCGACCCTCGTTAATTCGGACAAATAGGGGGGGAAGGGTGTCCGTTTCAGCCGATTGTCCGAATTAACTGATTTAGGGGTTAATATTGCATTATATTTCCAAGAAAATGCAGTGAGTTTGTCCTTAGCCTTGCATACCGTATATACTCGTATATAACCCCCCTCGTTTATAGATCGACCCTGATTTTTTGACCAAGAAATCGTTAATTTATGATATTCTTCGTTTATAGGTCGACCCACGTTTTTGAGGGTAATGGAACAACAAGACCTTCAGTAAAAACACTCTACGTCCTATAAACCGAGGCTCGCCGTGCCAGAAACACCGAGTGCCGAAGGCAAATTGTTTACCATTTATTATTATGACACAGTAATGTTAAACTTAATTAAAACACCCTCAACACTGGCACCAGAAATATACTGGTATGTTCATAGTAGTTTGTAACATGAGATCAGAGAATGGAAAAATACCACCCCTTATTTTTACATATTCAATGTAACACGTCATTAAACCAAGGTGCTAAGGGAACCACTGATCATGGCTGTTCCACAAAGCATCACATCAATGCAAAAGCACATGAAATGAAGCGTCACACTGCAAGAGGTGCTCAGCAAGGGAAGATGGTGGAAAAGAGTGAGGGAAGTTTCTCGCCTGATGCAATAGCAGCCGTGATCGGCCTTCATCAATTGACAGTTTATCGCTGACTGAAGAGGTGGGAGAAGAAAGGGAACCTCAGAGACCACTTAAACCAGGAGTGGCAAGAAAAAAATACCGCTGAAGTCCAATAGATTAGAAAATACATTGAGGGAAATTCATTCTACAATGCTCTGGCATTGTAAAGGCATCTGCAGCTTGGTGCATAAGCAAAGACTGTAAGAAAAGACTGCACAAAATGAGCAATCACCACACAACACCAACATAGAAACCAAAGTTAACAGAGAGACACCAGCTGCTACAGATCCAGTTTGCTCAATAGTACTTGGACCAGAGCCTTGACTACTGGGGAAGTCATATTTTCTGACAAGAAAACCTTCACTTGTACCTCCCATGGAAGAATTTATTGCTGGAGGAGAAATAACACAAAGTAAGCAAGTTGCTGCCATATGGCACCACAAAAATTGTGACCAAGTCCTAGGTTGCTGATCTGACTTTCTGCCTCATTTACACACAATTGCAGGGTCTCAATTGTTTCTCACTCTTGATCCCTCTTTTTTTTGTATGTCTTTATTATTATTATTATTATTATTATTATTATTATTATTATTATTACTATTACTATTATCATTATTATTTAATTATTTTTATTTAGTTATTTGTTATCATGAATTATTATTATTATTATTATTATATTTTTGCCCCCCAGGCCCCGATGTGGGTCAGTGACCTGTGCCCGGGTGGGCTAATCCCAGCATTAAAAAAAAACAAAAAAAAAAAACAACTGCAATCATAAGTTGTTTCATTATTTTCTTCCACATATTTCTTATCGTTTATGAATAACTGTATATATTTTTGAACTCGTCAATTAATGCATAGACAATTAACCCGTACAGCGTCAACGGCGTAACGGTTACACCGATATACTTTCGAGATAAATGAATAAGTACTGTAAATTCTATACTTACAGTATAATGCAAAAGTGAAACCAATTAAAAAATAAATAGTTATAAAATCATACAAAAAAATACGTATTGGTGAAAATTATTATGAAAAAGGATAAATATATTCATGTTCCGAAATCGAGATAGACGATAAATAAAGACAAAACAGCTACAGACAGTGAAAACTTATGTTAACTAGCATAATTCCACTCTCACTCGATGAAAAACGTCAACACCAGTAAAACTCTACAGGCATCCCCCGCGTTACGGAAGCCCAGGTTACGGAATTTTGCTCTTACGGAATTTGTAAATGATGACCAATGTTTTCGCGTTACGGCCCGTAAATCCGCCCTTACGGAAATTTGGGGTAAACTTTAACAATTTAAAAAAAAATCACTATAAAATTATAATTTTTTTTTTAATTATAATTTGTTTGGTGTGAATTTCTTGGAGTTTGCTACCGCCAAGCGTGGCGTCGCCACGAGGAGTCACTCCATTGTTTACAACCAGTGTGCGCGCATGTTTCTCGCCCCAGCAGTTGGATTTAACTTTTACAAACATACAGTAAGTACAGTACAGTGCATTACCGTTATTCAAGATGACTGGAAAAAGGCCATCAAGTGGAAGTGACCGCAGTAGTGCAAAAAGAAGCAACAAAGGCATTACATTGGATATTAAACTTGATGTTTTAAGGTGGTTTGATGCTGGAGAAAAACTTAGCCAGATTGTAAAAACATTAGGTCTTGCTATTTCAACAGTGGGAAAAATCCGTGATAATAAGGACAAAATTAGGTCAAGTGCTCAAGCAGCCACTCCATTAACTGCTCGAACCTTGTATTTTCATAGAAAGTGATGTGATGCTAAATATGGAACGACTCCTGAGTGTCTGGATTGAAGATCAGACTAAACGCAATGTGCCACTAAACACTATGGTTATTCAACAGAAAGCCATAAGTTTGTATAATGATTTGCAGGAAGAGGAAGGTGCATCTTCTGAGGTTAAACCTTTTCTGGCTAGAAAAGGCTGGTTTGAAAGGTTTAAGAAGCGCCTTAATTTTCACAACATAAAAATGAGCGATGAAGCTGCCAGTGCTGATACAGATTCTGCTAATAAACATCCTGCTGAGCTGAAGAAAATTATTGATGAAGGAGGTTACACACCAGAACAAGTGTACAATGTTGATGAAACTGGGCTTTTCTGGGAGCGCATGCCTGCTAGAACTTTTATTTCCACTGAAGAAAAATCAGCACCAGGCTTTAAAGCATCCAAAGATCATTTAACACTTCTTTTGGGAAGAAATGCTTCAGGTGACATGAAATTAAAGCCCCTACTTGTGTATCACTCAGAAAATCCAAGGGCTCTGCCAAGTCTAATCTACCTGTGATTTAGCATTCCAATAAGAAGGCTTGGATGACTATGACCCTTTTCCAAAACTGGTTCACTAACTTTTTTTGCCCTGCTGTAGAAATATATAATGCCAGGTGTAACATATCTAATAAAGCATTGCTCCTCTTAGAAAATGCACCAAGCCACCCAGTAAATTTAAATGATCTTTCTGATAATGTGAGAGTGGAGTACATCTCCAAGAACACAACTTCCTTGCTCCAGCCAATGGATCAAGGTGTGATAGCTAACTTTAAGGCATATTATCTAAGAAAAACCTTTTTGCAGCTCATAAAAGCAGTTGATGGTGAGGATAAACCTACAATTAGGGACTTCTGGAAAAAGTTCAACATCTTAGATGCTGTGGATAACATAGCCGAGTCATGGGATGAAGTGAAAACCTCAGCTATGAATGGTTCATGGAAAAACATATGGCCAGAGTGAATCCATGAATTTAAAGGTTTTTCACAAGCTGAAAGTCTACAGCAAGTTCAACAAGACATTGGGACACTTGCAAATAATGTAGGCTTTGAAGAAGTCAGAGAAAATGATGTGGTTGATTTGCTAGAGTCCCATAGAGAAGATTTGATTAATGAAGACCTGGTGATGTTGGAAGAAGAGCGAGCTGCAGGACAAGAAGAGGATATAGAATCTCCACCCACCCCACTTCAGTTGACAACAAAGGATATGTCTAAAGGGTTTGCACTAATACAGGAAGGTCTGCAAATATTTGCTGATAATGACCCCAACTGTGAAAGGAACATCAAGGTTGCAAGAGCAGTTAACAATGCTCTCAGTTCCTATACTGAGCTGTACAAGGAGAAGGTGCGCCGTAAAGGTCAAACAACTTTGGATGAGTTATTCACCCTCAGAGAAAAGCCTAAAGCAGATGATGAGTTAGAGGGCAGGGCAGAAGAGAGTAGTGCCCCTCCCTCTCCCTCCCAATAACTCCCTTTGCACCACCTATCCTCACGCAGCAGTCAACATCTTTTGTGGTGAGTACAGTACAATATTTTTATTTATTCCAACTGCATTTCTCTTCATATTACATGTACTGTATATCATAAATTATTTAATGTACTGTATTGTATGTGTTTATAAATGTTTATTTTCAATCATAAAAATGCTTGAATTACTTTTTGGGGGCTGAAAAAAATTCCGTAGGAACGCATCTCCAGTTTTATAATGGAAGTCAATGGGAAAATAGGTTTCGCGTTACGGAATTTCGCAATACGGTCAATTTTCCAGGGACGGAACCCTTCCGTAATGCGGGGATGCCTGTACGCGTAAACTTTCAACGCCGCGACACGTTCACCCATGGGTGTAACTACTGTACACCTTCCATGGTCCGGTGAGTTGCTAAATGATGTTTTTCCTTCATTATATGATAGTATAAGTCCATTTTGGCCAAAATCCACAAGTAAAAAAAATTGCCGACGCCAGCCGAACATAATTATATTAACTTAGCTGACGCCGTACGGGTTAAAAATAAAATGCGTCAAGTTATAATTTATTTCCTGCAGATATATCCAAGAGAACATTTATAAGGCTGAGCAATAGTTGTGACCAAAATCCCATTGAAAATGGTTGGGCTAATACTGTAAATGTTTGGGTGCCTGTCAAGGAGAGGATGCCACAGTAGGGTGTGTCATAGGAGGGAAGATCAGCTAAAACTAATGGCCCATCACTTTTTTGGGAGATTTTAGTGTATATAAACAGAAAATAATTTCAGTTTCAATATTTTGCAACCTTTTGCTAGGTAAATT